GTATCGAAAGCAGATACAGACGAGTATCAAGGAGAGATTTAACACGGACGAGTGTTTGAATCAATACAGACGAGTATCGAAAGAAGATACAGACGAGTATCAAGGAAAGGTTAAACATGGACGAGTGTTTGAATCTATACGGACGAGTATTGAAAGAAGATTCGAACAAGTATCAAGGAAAGGTTAAACACAGACGAGTGTTTGGATAACTGACACGTGTTGCAACTGGTTTTAAAATTAGAGTCGCCACCCTTAATTTTTTATCCTAAAGGAAGGGAGTATAAAGGAAGAACCCTACAAGAAATTCAGAGATTCTAGGTTTAGACTCGGTTCTAGACGAGGGGAAGGTGTTAGGCGCTCATTCTCTACCTTGTTCGCAAGGATACTAGGTTTAGAAGCGCGTTCTTAAGAAATAGGGTTTTTAATTATTATTGGGGGAAAAGGGTTTGAATTTTAGTTAGGGGGACTCGCCACGATTTTAATCGTATGCCTACGTATCCTCTTAGGAGGAATCAGAGTCTCATTTCGTAGTTCGCGGGGTCGTTTGTGTTTTTATGGATCGCGAATATATTTGAATTTCTCGCATACGTGGTCTAAGAGTGTGAATAGTGGAGTTTGTTAGACCAAGTACGCAGTTAATTTAAATATATTCACGTTCCTTTTCAAAAATTAATTGTTTGAATTAATTTAATCTGCGAAAAAAGATTTGGTGTTTGGTTTGAGTATCTAAGACGTAGAGCGAAGGAGTCCGGCATAGTCTCCTTATCACACGATCAGATATTGGCCACGTATCATTCGCGGATGATGAATTGGGTGAGTTATGTAATTTTTAATATTTGATTTTGAATAACTGACTGATAGACGATGAGTCGACCAATCGCTTATTCGAGGACATGGTGGATAAAAAGTCTACCAATCCCATCATAAATAGGTTGAATTAATTAATATTGTGTCCTTATTGAATTTTAGGTACAAAGTTATTGATTTTATGTTTGATATATTCTTATTCTAAGAAATATTTAAAGAAAAGTAAAGTTTAGAAGGGATACACATATAAAGTAGGCGTGAATTAGTAAATAGGGGGAAATAGGGTTAAGACCCAAATCATACATAGACAACTCTAATTCTAAATATTAACCAAATAATAAAACTATAAAAATAATATAAGATTTATATAAAAATAATAATAATAATCACGGTAGCAGAAATTGATTTTCCTTTTTTTTTCTTTCAAATTAATAATAAAAAATAATGAATACCAATTAAAACCAAAAATTAAGTAACAAAATTGAAACAAATAACAAACAATATAAGAAATAAAATAAAGCATATGTATATACACATACCAGGCTTTTCCAGGATGTATCTTTGACCCATTCAATTTAAATTGGAAGCTAATAACTTCGTAACACATGGCAATTCCATTTAGAAGAAAAAGAAGAAGAGAAAAAAAATATAGAGTAATAATAATTAATTAAAAGAATAACAATGTGACAACATCAAGGGGTGTTGCGACTGAAAGTGTTGTCGGCAGTTTATTGCAGGTCTAGCGGTGGAACGACGAGTGGCCGTTAGGTACGCAGGCGACAACAGTGGAGATGCCCAACAAAGTTTGTTGGTTTCCAGCCGGAACTGAGCTTTAGTAGCGTGAGTTTTGATTTCGCGACGACTTTCTCTTTTCTTCTTGTTTCTACAATAACAAAGAAAAAACTTTGTACTAATATTGATATTGATACTGTGTTGTTAGTTTTGATGGGAAAAATTTGTGAAGTGATTATGCAGGTTGTGCCATGAGTTTTGATTTTGTTTCACTCTTTCAAATTTCAAATTTTGATTTACTTCACTGTTTTTTTTTTTAATTTGAAGTGATATTATAATTAAGAATTTTTCAGAAACGATATAAAAATGGTTTTGTGAAGATATTAACTTTAAGTTTTGAACAAGTTTTTGTGGAGTAAATTAGAAGAAGATTATATTATGATGTGTGAATATTTTTATGGTGGTAGGTATGTATGATGAAGAAAATGTTTTATGATGTTACTGCAAATTACATGTGAACGTCGAAAGTGGAAAATAGTGTGTAGCAATTATGGTTTTTAGTGGAAAAGTGAACCGTATAAAAAGTGACGTAGAATCGTAAGAGGATGATGATAGTAGTAACAATATATTACTACATTAGTAATATAAAATTATTGGATGAAAGAATATAAATTGTTATACTAAAACTTGATAATCATATTATTTGTTAGATGAAAAAATCGATAACCATACAAACTGTTAGATAAAAATTAATAACATTGTAATTTGTTGGATACAAAATATATCATTAGATAATCATCATATGATTTAAAAGCTAACAAAACAAAAATTAAAATTGAAAATAAGAGGGAGGGGGTCTCATATGAAATCATCGGCTGTTAATAAAGAAATTTTCGTTGTTGTTTGATATAGACAACAACTCTATAATAAACTAAGAACAAGAATTATAAAAATTTAAATGAAAAAAGCAAGTTTTTGTGGATGAATTGTGAAATTTCTAGATGATTTAGAAGTGAAAAACATGTCCTATTTACAGATAAAAAAAAATCATCCAAATTGGAAATAAAACAAACTTGAGCAATCAAAAATAAGGTGTGACACAAATTGACATTCAATGGCCAATAAGAAACACCTATTTAAAACTCGTGACCTTACGCTTGCAAGCTTAATCCTTTACCAATTGTGCCATGTTACTCATTTCTAAATAAACTCAATTTGAAAGAATATGAAAGATGTGCTGATATTTGCTATTTAAAAATATAAACAATTTTAAAATGAATCATTATATTTTTAAATAAGTTTGGAAGCAAATATTTATAAAAATAAAATAATACTATAAAAACAAAGTTTAAAATATTTTTGACTGGACTTGAGAATGAACATCTATAAAAATCAAATAATATTATAAAAACAATGTTATAAAATATTTTGACTGTAGAAATAAAAGGACGGGAAAATTTGGGGTATGACAACACGGACGAGTGTTTGGGAAACTAACACGGACAAGTGTTTGAATTAATTGACACGGACGAGTGTTTGGAAGTTGACACAGACGATTGTTTGGAAGGCTAACACAGGCGAGTGTTTAGAGAAACTGACACGGGCGAGTGTTTAAGAAACTAACTTAGACGGGTGTTTAAGAAGCTGACACATACGAGTGTTGGAAGACTGAATTATTTGTCAGACGGGAACTGAATACCAGATGAGAACTGGGTTTAGAATTGATCGTTAGACGGGAACTGACTACCAAATGGGAATTGGGTTTTTAAAATGGTTTTCCAGAGCGAGAATTGGGCTTTAGAATAACAAGGTGTATTGATTTTGCTGGGAATCCAGTGATACAAGGTATTGGCACTGTTAGCTGGGCATCGTGAAAGTGAAGGATGTAAGATGAAGGTTTGGGAGCGATACCCTCTTGTGGGAATGTATCACCTTCTTTGAGTGATTCAGGTCTTTCGTGTTGTCGTACCCCAAATTTGTCCTACCTCAATAATTTTATTTTTTCGAGATTAAAATTGAAGAAATATTAAAGTAAAGATGGTACATCAGTATCTGATGGCCCATCTTTATCCAAGACTAGGGGGTGTACCTTAAATTCAAGAAAGCGATGCTTTCTAAATCAGAAAGACTCGTGTATCCGAGAACCCATTTGCGTAGCATGTTGGCCAATGGCCCATGCGATTCAGAAATGGAAAACTACTTTAAGAGAATAATAATTAAGTCCTTAATTTGTTAATTGTTGTTGGTAATTAAGACAAGAAGTTGAATTTACAATATGCGAGCCAATTTCATTTGGCCCATTTCTATTTTTCGTGGATAGCCAAAGAAGGGGTATTGGTATCAAAAGTCCATTAAAGTTCTCTGGCATTCTTATTGAACATTTGTTTTTATGTTTTTAATATAAGGCTCAACAATGTGTTAGAACATAGTTTGATTCTACAACCCTCAGTTAGAGTTTTGATGATAACAAAATACAAGATTAAATGAATTATGAGTTTTATACATGACATAGATGCTACCTAAAATTATGTTGTGTATTTGCAGGAAACTCTGATGGAATCAGCATCAGAATATCAGAATATCAACATCAGCATTAGAAGATATGTCACATCAGAAGATCAAACATGTGCTGACGTTGAAGTCTGATGAACAGAATCTGCGCTCAACATACTCTGACTCTGATCAAGATCATAACCATGTCATCAGCATTCAGAAGCGCCAGAATAAGCTAAAGCCAAGAACACTCTGATCTTAATCAAGCAGAATATTCTGAAGTGTCAACGGTACTGCATTCAAGGCAGATTAATTACCAACGGCTTTATTCCAAGACAAAGATCTTCTCAAAATGGAAAGAACGTAATGAGCATTGAAATGAAATTATTGGCATCAACGTATCTTTTCCAAGAAGTATTTAAACAAATCAGTGAGAAAGGAAATGGCTAATGCTCTACAATTCTCTACACGCCTAAAGTCAATCATCACTAAACTCGTTCTCACTTTTGCTAAAAGCTTTCAATCGCTTACTCTATAGCTCTAGCAATCTAGTGTCACTTAAGCTTCATTTTGTGTATTATCACAGTTGTGATATATAGTTTTTGTAGAAAACATCAAACACACATAATAGTTCATTTATCTGTAAGAAAGAATTTCCTTGAGAAACCGGTCAGTGGTTTAGACTCAAGAAGGCTTTAGCAGTTGTTAAAGCAGTTTTGTATTCAGTTGAATATAGTGGATTAAGACCTCGTTGGAGAGAGGCGAAATCACCTTGACAGGTGGACTGGAGTAGTTTGAGATCAAACGAACCAGGATAAAAATAACGTGTTGTCTGCATTTATTTTCAAGTTTCAACAATTCAACCCCCCTTCTTGTGTTTTTCACTTCTTCAATTGGTACCAGAGCGCCTGGTTCTGAGTTCATAACACTTAACCGTGTCAGTACAAGATCCAGCATTGAAAAACACTATGGCAGTAACACATCACAACATCAGCAATGACAACAACGAAGAAAGAGACAGATTCAGTGGTAAACCTCCAGTCTTTGATGGAGAGAACTTTGATTACTGGAAAGACAGAATTGAAAGCTTCTTTCTAGCCCATGATGCTGGTCTGTGGGATATGGTGACAGATGGATACACGCACCCAGTGAATGCAAGTGGTCAGAAGATTGACAGGAAAGCAATGTCTGACCAACAAAAGCGTGATTTCAAGAATCATCACAAGGCCAGAACTATTCTTCTCAGTGCTATCTCTTACTCTGAATATGAAAAAATATCAAACAGAGACACTGCTAAGAACATGTTTGATTCTCTCAGAATGACACATGAAGGCAAACTTCAAGTTAAAGAAACTAAAGCTCTTGCGCTCATCCAGAAGTATGAGGCATTCAAGATGGAAGAAAGTGAATCTATTGAAACAATGTTCTCAAGATTTCAGATTCTGGTTGCTGGTCTCAATGTTCTGGACAAAGGGTATTCTACTGATGATCATGTCAAGAAGATCATCAGAAGCTTGCCAAAATAGTGGAGGCCAATGGTCACAGCGCTGAAGCTAGCTAAGGATCTCAATACAATCTCTCTGGAGGAACTTGTCAGCTCCCTCAGAAGTCACGAGATAGAGCTGGAAGCTGATGAACCTCAAAAGCAAGGTAAGCCTTTAGCTCTAAAATATAACAGAAAATGTGACTCTAAGGTTTTGCAGGCTGTTGAAGAAACCTCTGATGGGTCCTCATCAGAAGAAGATGAATTGTCTCTCCTCTCCAGAAGGGTGAACCAACTATGGAAGCAGAGGCAAAGAAAGTTCAGGAATCCCAGAAGATTTGAGAACCAGAACGAACCCTCCTCCAGATAATGAAGGTCAGAATCCTCCTCTGGACACAGAAGATCTGAAGGCTCTTCAGGAAGCAGAAAGCCAGACAACAAGGACATCATCTGCTATGAATGCAACGAGCAAGGACACTACAAGAGTGATTGCCCAAAGCTTCAGAAGGAAAAGCCCAGAAGAAAGTTTGGCAAGGAAAAGAAGAAAATTCTCATGGCCACATGGGATGACTCTAACACATCTGAAGCTGACTCAGAATCAGATGATGAGAGAGCAAACATAGCTCTCATGGCAAACATATCAGAAGACAGTGAAGCTTCTGAATCAGACTCTGAATCAGACACAGAAGAGGTATTTCCTGACTTTGCTATTAACTTTACTAAGGCTGAACTAGCTGAAAGCCTTAATGAGATTCTGGAAAGATATCAGCAGATCAGAGTCAAATTCAGAAACCTGAAAAGGGATCTTGCTTCTAACTCTGATAAAACTGGGAGTCTCAAGTTGGAAAATTCTGAGTTGAAAAATAAAGTTTCAAAATAAGAAAATATATTACAAAACTCTCAGAAGGAAATAATTCTTGAAACTCCCAGTAGTGCTGATGAGATCATCAAGGAGTATGATCACAGCTTTCAGAAGTTTCTTGCTAAAAGCATAGATAGAAGCAAGATGGCTTCAATGATCTATGGAGTTAGCAGAAATGGCAGAAAGGGAATAGGATACCAAGGTAAGGTACCTACACCAAAGAATGCCATGGATTTAGTTATTAAACGAACTCCACTTAAGTCACACTTTGTATATGGGCACACACACGACATCAAATATACTAGTAGCAATTATTCTGTCAAACCAAAATTCAACCCGAGTTTTGGTAAAACTAACAAATCAGGACCCAAGAAAATATGGGTACCTAAGGATAAAATAATACATGTTACAGATATCTTTAGCAGCAAAGCAGAAACACCAGTCATGGTACCTGGACTCTGGCTGCTCACGACACATGACGGGAAGAAGGCATATGTTCCAAAGCCTGGAACTTAAGCCTGGAGGCCATGTAGGTTTTGGAGGCAATCAGAGGGGAAAGATCATTGGCTCTGGAACAGTAGGTAATGGAAATCTTCCCTCTATCAGTAATGTCTTATTAGTAGATGGATTAATGCATAACTTGTTATCCATAAGTCAATTAAGTGATAACGGTTATGATATAATCTTTAATCAAAATTCATGTAAAGCTGTTAGTCAGAAAGATGGGACTATCCTGTTTAATGGAAAAAGGAGAAACAACATTTACAAAATCAAACTTTCTGAACTGAAAAGTCAGAATGTAAAGTGTCTTCTGTCTGTTAACAACGGGCAATGGATCTGGCACAGAAGATTGGGGCATGTTAGTATTAGAAGAATATCTCAGATTAACAAACTCAATCTGGTCAGAGGACTTCCTAATCTGAAGTTTAATTCAGATGCTCTGTGTGAAGCATGTCAGAAAGGCAAGTTTGCAAAACCTGCTTTTAAATCTAAAAATGTTGTTTCCACCTCTAAGCCATTAGAACTTCTGCACGTTGACTTATTTGGACCAGTTAAAACTGCTTCAGTCAGTGGCAAGAAGTATGGGTTAGTAATCGTAGATGACTATAGCAGATGGACATGGGTAAAGTTCTTAAGACATAAGGACGAGTCATACTATGTGTTTGTTACCTTCTGTAACCAAGTTAAGAATGAAAAGGATCTTAGAATCATCAAAGTCAGAAGTGATCATGGTGGAGAGTTTGAAAACAAAGATTTTGAATCATTTTTTAATGACAAAGGCATTCTGCATGATTTCTCTTGTCCTAGAACTCCCCAGCAAAATGGAGTTGTAGAACGAAAGAACAGAACATTGCAAGAAATGGCCAGAACCATGATCAACGAGACTAACGTTGCTAAGATCTTCTGGGCAGAGGCGATAAACACAGCGTGCTACATTCAGAATAGAATCTCCATAAGACCTATTTTGGAAAAGACTCCATATGAATTGTGGAAGAACAGAAAGCCCAACATTTCATATTTTCATCCATTTTGATGTACTTGCTTTATTTTGAATACAAAATTATTTGAACAAGTTTGACTCTAAAGCACAGAAGTGTATTATGTTAGGATACTCTGAACGCTCAAGAGGGTACAGAGTATACAATACAGAAACACAGATTGTGAAAGAATCAATCAGTGTTCGTTTTGATGATAAGCTTGACTCTCAAAAGTCAAAGCAGAATGAAGTATTTGCAGGTATGGAAGTTGAATTCACAGGTACTGAAGACAAGTCATCAGAAGCTCTTAACAGAGACACTCCCTCAACATCAGAAAGAGACACTGCAAGCAATCCAGCATCTTCTGTTGATCAACCTCAGAAAAGACCATCCAGAAGCAGCATGGATCATCCAGAAGAAACTATCTTAGGAATAAAGGAAGATCTAATCAGAACAAGAGCCAGCTTCGGAAACTCTGAAGAATCCCTCATGGGACTTGTTTCTCTGATTGAACCATCTTCAATTGATGAAGCACTTCTGGACAATCACTGGATTCTAGAAATGCAAGAGGAGCTGAATCAATTCACCAGGAATAACGTATGGGATCTAGTTCCTAAACCAAAAGGATTCAACATCATTGGAACAAAACGGGTGTTCAGAAACAAGCTGAATGAACAAGGTGAAGTCATCAGAAACAAGGCACGATTGGTAGCACAAGGTTATAGTCAGCAAGAGGGGATAGACTATACAGAAACCTTTGCTCCAGTCGCCAGGTTAGAATCTATCAGACTTTTAATTTCTTTTGCTATTAATAAAGGCATCACTCTGTATCAGATGGATGTCAAGAGTACATTCTTAAATGGCTATATAGAAGAAGAGGTATATGTGCACCAACCCCCTGGTTTTGAAAGTTCAAAAAATACATAATATGTTTTCAAACTAAAGAAGTCATTGTATGGTCTGAAACAAGCTCCCAGAGCTTGGTATGAAAGACTAAGTAACTTCCTGTTAGAAAAGGAATTCACCAGAGGGAAGGTGGACACAACCTTATTCTGTAAGACAGTTAAGAATGACATCTTAGTCTGCCAGATTTATGTTGATGATATAATATTTGGATCTACTAATCCTTCTCTGGGAAGAAAATTTGCTAAGTGTATGCAGGCAGGATTTGAGATGAGCCTAATGGGAGAACTGAAATTCTTTCTGGGAATTCAGATCAATCAAACCCCATAAGGAACTTACATTCATCAGAGCAAATATGTCAGAGAACTTCTAAAGAAATTTGATCTCTCAGAATGTAAGCCATCAAAGATTCCAATGCATCCCACGTGCATTCTGGAAAGAGAAGAGGTAAGAAAAAAGGTAGAATAGAAGGTCTACAGAGGTATGATTGGTTCTCTTCTTTATCTTACAGCTTCAAGGCCTGATATTTTATTCAGTGTGTGCATTTGTGCAAGATTCCAATCAGATCCTAGAGAATCTCACTTAACAGTTGTTAAGCGAATTTTCAAGTATCTGAAAGGTACTACTAATCTGGGTCTGTTTTATAGAAAATCTAGTGATTACAGCTTAGTAGATTACTGTGATGCTGACTTTGCTGGAGACAGAGTTGAACGTAAAAGCACTTCTGGAAGCTGCCAGTTTCTGGGAGAAAATCTGATCTCGTGATCCATCAAAAGACAATCCACCATTTCTCTATCAACAGCAGAAGCTGAATACATAGCAGCAGCTGGATGCAACACACAAATGCTCTGGATGAAAAGTCATCTTGAGGACTTCCAGATTTATGAGATTAACATTCCTATCCTCTGTGATAATACCTATGCTATTTGCTTAAGTAGAAATCCAATTTTGCATTCTAGGGCTAAGCATATAGAAATAAAACATCATTTTATTAGGGACTATATTCAGAAAGGAATTTTAAACTTAAAATTTATTGATACAAACCATCAATGGGCTGATATCTTTACAAAACCACTTTCTGAAGATAGGTTCAACTTCATTCTGAATCATCTTAGCATGAAGCTCTTTCCAGAATAAAACTGTTTTAATTTTATATATTAACCTTCAGAATTGTGTTTATTTCTATGTGAACTTCTGATCAATCCTCTTTCAGAATTTTTAGAAATGCAGATTGTATCAGAATCTATCCATGAAGCTCTCAGCTCTTCAGTTCAAGGATAGAAGTGATCTTCACTCAAAGCAAACAAGTGTCATCCAGTCATCAGCTGTTTCCTGAGGATGAACACGCGTTCACGCTTCTGAAAAGGCAAAGCGCTGATTGGATGCATTGAGACACATGTCACTGATAACCGTTTAAGTATCTTTCTGAAATCCCCTAAAATCAGCCATCATTAAATGCTATTAATCATGATTTATTTCTCTCTCTTAAGCGTTTATGTTTTCAAAAACTTTTTCGAAATCTATTTAAACACCATTCACACGACTTCCTCCTTCTTCTTAGATTTTTCTTATGTTTTCCTTGTTTTCTTTACATGTTTGTCTGTAATATTTTTTCTACTTGTTCTAAACTATCATTGCTTCTGTTTTAATACAAACGTGTTTTGTTCTAATCTTTTTAACTCTGATTAACTATGCTTTTTGATAGCTGACAAAAAGGGGGAGAAAGAATGATATTTTTCAATAACGGCTTACTGAGACAAAAGTCTCAAACATTCTAACATTCTTATATATTTGAATGTCCTTGTTCTAAAAAGCTTACAGGTACAAGAATATGAAGAACTCTGATAAAGCAAAATTCTGATGCTCAAAGAAAGGTTCAATAAAGTTCTGATACTCAAGGAATCAAAGGGAAATAATCAACTCAGGGAGAATAAAGTTCTGATGCTCTATAATTCCTTATCCTCTCAGCTCTGATACTTTTATTCATTATTTGATTATCTATGATATCGTTTCCTCTTTATTCTTAAACTCTGATACTCTCATCATTCTATTTTAATTGGAAAAAAATCTGGTTTTTGTCATCATCAAAAAGGGGGAGATTGTTAGAACATAGTTTGATTCTACAAC